CGATCCCAATACGAAGTTCGCGAACATCAGGGATATCCATCGGGCTCAAATCGAAGCGGGTGAAAAGGAGGTTATCACGGCTGAATCCAGCGACTCTGAATGCCCTAGTGAGGCTGGCAGCTGTATTGTAGTGGGTGTGGTTGAGGATCAATAGTTAATAGTAATGAGGAGGTTGGGTTGTGATCCCATCGTTTTTGTGGTGCCAGAAACAGGGGGGTGCCAGGAAGTGGGTATGTTGACTTATCGCACTGCGTAGACCCTCGCCCTCCCCTCCCCACCTCAAAGAATCCAACCAGAAGGTTGCGGGCTCACGGTCCCACGCTAGGTCCGACACAGCCACAGGAGAAGGATGATTTTGACGTGTTCTCGCGTTCTGAGAGTGCGTTGACTGCGTCGTATACCTTTGTTCTGCCCCACGTTGGAATACCAGAATACGGCCCCTCTGCCTAACCCCTGAGCAGTGAGCACGCCAGTGGCCGCGACGCGAACGCAGAGGCATAATGTAGTGTCACATTGGCAGACGCTGTTGACAGCTATTGGCCATGCCTCAACACGCAAGTCTGCGGGTTCTGTCCATTTTTTTTTCACTTCCCAAAGAAAGAAGCGATTGCTGACCTTGCCGGGGAAAGACAGACTACCGTACTGCGAACAGGGCGGGTGGATGCCATCCCCTTCTCAACTCTATACGGATAGCAAATACGGCGAACCCCGTTTTTGCAGTGGTTAGGCGTTGCGTTGTTCTGGCTCGGACGTCCGGCCTGCGACTTGCAGGATAGTCAGAAGAGTTGCGGAAGCCACGCCACGACATGCACAACAACGCATACACAGTACAGAGGTGGCAGAGGAAGACCGGCGGGATGGAGTCCAACATCTGCCAGGCGGGCCCTACTACCAACGCTCGGGCACCGAGCTAACATCCATCCCCTGGTGGCCAGCAGAGGTAGGATGTTTAACGCTGCTGGTCTACAGTATCTCGTTGCTTACAGATCCCCAGTGTCCGTTCCCTCGTTTGCTAACGAGTTGGAATGGGGTGCCTTGTTGCATTTTCCTACTGACTTAGCTGCAGTAGTCTGAGGGCTGCCGTTGTCTGCCGTACCCTTACCAAGCTGGAGCGTACAGATACAGGCTACCTTACGCAGTACAGCAGCGTTGTGCTTGGACATTTCTTTTCTTTCTTCACGGCCATCCCAACTTCCGACTCGTCCGCCCTGTTTGCCCGGCTCTTGCGCTGCAAGGCCTTGCTTCTGCATTGCATCACAGAAAATGGAATCCAGCAACCAAAGACGCCTTGTGGCTTGTCAGATTAGCTCCTTTAGCTTGCCCTGCCAGGCTTGACAGCAGGGACTACAAGTACGAAAGTACGCAGACCATACGGAGGAGTATCTTTTTCGTATTCATGTCCCCCTCGAATACTGGCTTGAATCTCAATTGCTTTAAATGAGCCATTGAGTCCCAATTGATGGCTCTGCCTTCTCTCGGGCACACATTCTTCTCAATCTGCTTTCCTTCCCCCTCGGGCCTCACTTACTGATCCAGTTGGTGACATTCGGCCCGTCGGATTTGGATGGGGTTGAACCATTCCTTATCGCCCGGTGCAAATTTCATAAGCCCTTTATTTTCTTGTTGCTTCTGATCCAATCCAGCCTAGTCTGACTACGGATGCAAGAGTGACCAAACAGGGGGGGAGACATGCCCGATCCAGTCAACAACTCACAACCACGTAGGCCCCCAAGCTAGTAGTGGAAGATCCCACGCGCACTCGCCGGCGGTGTCGTTACTCATGGGTACTTGGACCGCCAAGGAGTAGATAGCGCTATGAGATGTTCGTTGGGAAATCGCTACAATGTGTGGATGTTCGCCCGGGGTTATGGGTTCCTTGATGCCTGGGTATCTGCAAAGACCTAACCCAAGTGCCTACCACGCAGTAGTACCTAGGAGTCTAGGACACTCTGTAATCGGAGATTTTGGTACAGGGAAGGGGCCTCTCTACGAAAGCTGCAAGGAGGTGGACTGTCCAACCTATGGGGACACAAAATGCCTCCCGAGTTCCCGGGCAGGAGAAAAGGACCAAACGGGGCCACCTCAGTGCACCTACATAGGTAGGGTAGGCATGTACTATCTGCCCGGGTCGGTACGTATTCAACTATCGGATGGGTACCGACTTTTGGTGGGATGCTGTACAGCGTACGCAGTATCTGTACCGCTAGGAGGAGAGGTGAGGCATCTACCCAAAGTACCTACATCTTCATTGGTCTCACTCCAAGAGAGTAAACGTTGGCAAGGGAAAATCAAACATACGGGAAACCATCGGCAATTCTTTCTCCTTCGCGTTTCCCTCGAACTTTCTTCGAGCTATGCATTTGTCGATAGACGCACAGCACAAGCCTGGGACTCGGTACGGGAAACTCATGATCAGATCTGTGACAATGCCGCCATGGCAGCAAGAGATGGAGGCAGACTACGGCGTACTTGTCAGTCCATGGCAGCAGAGATGACAGGCATTGGGATTTGAGAGAGAGAAGTGCCTACTATGCTGCCCCAATCCAATATGTGCCAGGTCCCAGTCAGTTTAGTCCAGTCCAGTCCATCCCAATCGCAACCCACTTTCGATCCGATTGCCATCCCATCCCATTCCATCCGTTCTCCCCGTCTCCAGTTTCTCCCATCCGTCCACGTTTAGAACGGTGAACTGGTGCCTGACCGGGAGTCTGTCTGTGAAGTGACTGCTTGGAGACTGGACCGGTAGAGTGAGGAACTCGCCCATCCCGGCCTGTCCTATTTCTCTTTTCAATCCGCTCTGAGACACACGCCCAAAAATGTCAATATTTTTGTCGCCATCTCACTCTCCGTGCCCTCTTCCTAGAGTTTGTCCTGCGCTTTTTCTCTCGTTCAGTCTGTTTCTCTCTCCTTCTTTTTGCTAAGATAGCTAGCTGTGTGTATGGATCTGTCTCAGTGAATTTGTCTACGTTTACCGAATTGGACGCCAGTCAATTAGAAGCAAAGTACTTTGGTAAGGTAGTTTGTCAAGCATCTGTGCCTAAGGTACCTACCGTAAGGTAATTAAGACACAATCCTCTCATCGCCGGCGCCTACATCCACGGTCCACGCCCGTCCTCCCTGAACCCCCCTGTCCCTTCCGTCCTTCTCCTGCCTTCCGCAGACGCCGCCCACCTCATCCTCCATCTCCTCCCCAAATTCACCCACGTACTTCCGTACCTAAGATACGTCGTACGCACGGCACGGCCACACTGGAGACTTTTTTTTTTCTTCCTTTCCCTCTGCTCCTGCTGGCACCGCGTGGCTCTCTCCTCATCCCATCATCCCAACTCTGTCACCGTACCTCCCTACAACCCACCCCTACCTCCCTTTTACCTAGTCGTGACTTCCCTGGCTGGCATCCGCAGAGGTGTCTTTGCCCGAAACACACCACGCTTCTTACACACCTCCCGCACAGCCCGAGGTACCTCGCGTGTCCCTTGGTACCTGCCTCTCCTACTTTACTTTTAGACGCCTCTTCCAGCCATTGCCGCTCTCTCCACCACCTCTGGCTCACTCACCCTCCTTCTATCATCCCGTCCCAATTCTCTAAACCTCTCTACCCTCTCTACCTTACCTCTTCCCTCCATATCCTCGTTGTTTTTTCGCACCGAGCGAGAGACCGTGTTTGTCCTACGAAAAGAACGACAGACAGAGCTCAATCCTACCTATCCCGTCTCCTTTTCTTTCTTGTAATCCTAAATCTCGTCATCTCCTTTCGACGATCACGCCCCCCCGTCCGTTCGCTGTCCTCCCCAAAGAACCAAGACCGGCCAGTCTTCGAAACACGACACCACCTCGGGGCAGCCAATCCATTCGTTACATAGACAGAAAGTTGCTTGCACATTCACACCCACACATTCACCTTTGCCGCAAGCTGTCGACAAGTATCAATCGACCTCGCATCATCCTCTTGACCGTGCTCCAAGCCAGCTGTTCTTGTTGTTGCATCGTCTCGCCGTTTCCAAGGGCCCATTCAGTTAGCCCACTTCAGCTCGACCAGCCGCCCCCGACTTCGACTAGCCACTACAGGCGACACGTTCGTTACTTCTGCTGCATCGAGAGAAGCCTTGGTTTTCGATACTGCGCCACTAGGCTACCAGAACCAAGAGAGACTGACGACCCGTCGCCGAATCGCTTCATTTCCACGTCGCTCCAAATCCACGCCCCGATACACTTGCCAGCGTCGAATGGGTCTGACGCCCGACGCACCCACAGACGCGCCCACCTGCCGACCTGCCGTCGCCTACGCCTAGTAGGGGGTTTTGGAACACGGGAATCAGGATAGGAACAATCCACCACTTCCGTTTGTGCGATACACAGGTCGCTACACCTAGTTCGACTCCAATCGACGATTGAACGAAGCCACACGCTGGTTGCTGTTCCATTCGCCGTCGTTGTACAAGGCCCAAAAAGCCGTCTGCGTTGTCGCGAAAAAGAGGTGTACAGAGGGTACAACACTTGGCCCAGCCCACCAGCTAATCCACAATTGGGCCCATCATGGCACCCATGACGCCCCGGCTCAAGATCCTCTCAGGTGCGTCCCATTTCTTTCCTGGCTTCCAGTCTTCCCGCCCGCTCGCTCCAGTAATTGCTTCTTCTTGCATCAGTGCGACGGGGTGGATCGGAATTTTGTGTTCCTTTATCTCTATCCGTCAGCCCGGCTTTTCTCCTCCCCATTACACCTTTCCCATCGCAGACCACACTCGTTTTTCTTCCCCTCTCTTTTTTTTCCTTCTTAATATACACAGTACTCGTCAATACAGGGACCGGTGCTCTTGCATCGTGTCGACCGCAATTCAGCATGGCCGACGACAGCGAGCTAATGAAAACCTGTGTAGTGGGAGGGAATCCAGTTTCTGCCTTTCTATCATGGAGATTACAAGCGACGAATGCTTGCGACGTTACACTGGTGTGGAAGTCGGGATTCGATCACGTTGCGCAATACGGCATTTCCTTCAAGTACGTCGCCTATTCTCTCCTGCGACCTGCGGGCGCGCGTCTAATCAAACATTTGCAGGTCTCCCATATTTGGCAACGAAAGATTTAAGCCGCGACACGGTAAGTTCCCAATGCACCATGGTCGGCAGAGGGATGTAAAGATTGCTGACAGTCTGAATCCGCAGTTGTACGCGTTCCCGAAGAAGCCGCACACGGCGGTGGCCCATTTGATTATGTGATCCTTTGCATCAAGGCTCTCCCCGACGTTTACGACCTCGCCGCCGTCATTGACGCCGTCGTCACCCCTCAACACACGTGCATTCTCGTTAACACGACGCATACCCTCGGTGTCGAGGCCGCTATTGAGGAACGATTCCCCACCAACGTTGTGCTTTCGCTGGTTTCCAATGCCGAACTCTCCCAACTGGGCCAGAGTGAATTCGAACACAAGGGCTCAACAGAAGTCTGGGTTGGACCCTCCTGCAAAAATGATAATATTCCCGGCGCAATCCAGAGCGATATGGCCGAGGCATTGGCGATGACGTTGAACACGGCCCAGGTCGACTGCAAAGTTTCCCAGAACATCCGTCAGCAGCAGTATGAGCGGGTCATTGGGTAAGCCTGGATATGAATAGATTCCGTTTGGTAGCCTTGCTGACCTGACGACAGACCTATTGCTTTCCACCCCGCCAGCGTCATCTTCGAGACAGCAAGCCACGCCCAATTGCTTGAGAAGGTTGGTGTGAAGGATATGGTGACAGGCATAATCGACGAGCTGCTTGCTTTGGCAGACGCACACGGCTGCAAGTTATCTCCCGACTTCAAACAAAAGACCATTGACGAAATGACGAAGCCCACGAACCCCGAGAGCATCATGTGGCAGGACTACATCGCAAAGCGACCGATGGAAGTTGAGACGTATCTGGGCTCACCGATAAAATTGGCCAAAGAGGCTCACGTCCCTGTTCCTCGCATCGAGTCGCTTTACGCTATTCTGCATAACCTTAATATTGTCAACCGCCAGAAGCCGCCAAAGCCTATTGATGTAACAATGGCACCTCCCGGCTCACCCACATCTCAGTCACCTCTCCCGAGGA